CGGCGGGGGGCGGGGCGGCGCTGCATTTGATGCGGACAACATGCGGTGGTGCGGCGGCGGGGCAGCGGCGGACGGGCAGGAGGTTGCCGGCGGGCGGGCGGGAACGGAAATGAAGTGGCGGTTGGGCGTTCGCGGTCAGCGGCTGGTTTTGGACCAAATGAATCTCGTGATGTATATTTGTATTGTGAGGTGTTGCATTTTACATCACGAGGAGGCCGCGTTTCAATTTTTTTTCATATGGACCGTCTGTTGGAGCAGTGTTTTTTGTTCTAGACAATCCAAAAATTAATTATTTTTACATTTGAACCATCTATTGGAGATGCTCTAAAATTATACAATAAGAAACGCAGACTAGGTCACTAGAGACTACTAGTACTGGTTTACAGTCTGACTCTTCTGACGGTTAATTTGTCAGGATGTAGTTCTGTTTCTACTGTAAATTTGAACCTAGAGCAACTGCGTAGCACTCTAATTATTGTGCGGTCTGTCATTTTCCGTCTCCTGATATTTGACAGTGCAGATCTAATTTAGTACTTACGGGACCGTGGTTATATGGATCAACTCGAATTATTAGCCGATCACATGATTAGATGGCATTCGCCACAATGTGGGGCTGAGGACATCATGGTATGACGTCCTACCTTTTCTTGCAGATGACGTAGCACTATCTATCTATCGTGCTGTCCTGTTTGGCTCCTCGCCCTCACCGCATGGCCCAGCCCCAAACCACATGTGGTTTATGAATGAACTGAAGCAAGCGCCTGAGAACTGAGATTCATATAGCCATGCATGGCGTTTGCTTCGATTTCAAACTGGAAATTACCCAAGCGAACTCGTAAATAGGTAGAGTATCTCTCGTCCTTTTCATTTCCTTCAATGAATTAATAAACACGCGCATGTAGCTATTTCTAGTCGCCGACAGAATTAAATTACATGGTCCGGCAGTTGCCGGGCTGCTCGTCGCAGAAGTGCGGCGGGTACTGGTGGGGGTAGTAGGAGCTGGGCGGGTAGAAGTACGGCGGCGGGTGCACGGGCACGGGCATGGGCGCCGGCGGCTTCGGGTCCTCCTTCTTCTTCTCCTCCGGCTTCTTCACTTCCTCCACCTTGATGATTTGGGCGTGGCCGAGCTTCTTGCGGAGGCAGCTGACGAGGCACACCGGGTCGACGCCGTCGCCGACCACCTCCAGCTGGTCCCTCGCGTCGCCGGTTATCCCCATGGATGTCACCCCGGCTGCTCTGGCGGCCACGGTGAGGGCTTTGGACCTGCTCTTGTCGCACGACATGCTCAATTGGATGACAATCTTTTGCTGCAACATCAAGGAGGAAAGCGATGGATCAGTCGTATGCTTCAGCTCCAGAGTAATGTATCGATTGCTCAAAACTAAACTGATAAACAAAGCAAAACGAGAAGTACACAGGAACTAGGAGAAGAAACTGAATAGGGTTCCTCACCTTCATTGCTGGGTTGTAAGATGGCTAGCTATCAAGGAGAGATAGAAATTTGGGAAATGCTCGTGTTCGAGCGAGGCTATTGGTTTGGGTAGCTATTGATCGGTCTTCTGCAGATGCAAGTATCTAGCTTGTGATGATTTGGTGAAGGGGATAGCCGCCTGCCCGCCTTATATACACGCACGCAGTGGGCGCGGGTGTGGGAGCAGAGAATTAGAGCGATGTCAGTATGAGGAGTGAAAAAGTTGGGTGTTGCAAGAAGATTCGTAGCAGCAGCGGTGGCACCAGTTGAGCTCTCCCAGTGAGTAAACAACTGCCCAACTGGGTGTCTGGGTTCCATGCATGTAAACGCGTCCTCATCGCAATCACAAGCTCTCAGTTGAATTTTCCCGATCGGCACGCTACACATGGAGAGACATTTTTCAATGATCTGCCCAATTGTATCACTGATTGGCCACTTTGGACGCTCCACCGAAGACGCGGCTGCGGACATAACTATGTAGGCCGGGTCGATCGGTTAGTGAACATATCAGCATGAAACGGGACAAAAATGGCATGGATGCAATAGCAGCTCAAGTTCAACCGATCGGCGGTCCTCGACCAGCTCAATCAACAATAGTTTTGTCTTAGGAACACGCGGGAGGAGAGGGGGCTCACACGCTCACACCCGACTTTTTCACAACCGCACGCAATTAATAAGCAATTCTTCTGATTTTTCAAGAAAAGAGAGTGTTGCAATGCTGCTCGTAGTGGGGAGTGCCTCGCATATATCATGTCTATGATATTAGCGTGCAATAGCATTATATTATAAGTTAGTATTTTAGGATATTTCATTTGTTATCTTGTATAACACATAGTAACACATTTCTTTCTTTCCAATCGGCATTGCTACATGTGCAAACCGCATTTGCAGGAGCAGTTTTAACATGGCCCCTTTTACCTTACCTCATGAAAGGTAAGGATATAGTATAATAAACCCAAGTCGTTGATTTAATTAAGTAGTGGGCACGAGTAATTAGCATGTGGTAATTAATTGGTTCTAGCCCATCACCATCTCCCGGTTGCGCACTTAGAAGTAGAGAAGGCAGAAGGCTCCATCTCAAACTAAGGAAATTGAATCACTTTATTTCACAAATCTCGTGCGAAATCGACATGGAGTGAGAACCATGGTAAGATGTCCTCTACTGAATCTCTCTCCATCCGAGAAATCTTCTCCCGAAACACCGCTCAACACAATCTCTTTCTCCACGTCTCCTCCATGGCTCCGAGCACAAATAACAGATTTTATGCTTTGAAAATGAGCAAAAATAGTTATCTGCCATAAAAATCTTGGTTGTTGTGGAGGATCTAGCATTTTTATTCACGACTGTGCCACCCATTTGTCATGGATGTGGCTAACTCATGTGTTGTTGCCATCACACTTTCCATGATCCCAGTACCTAGATGCGATGTGAGACTGTTGCAGCACAACCATCCCTCTGTGTCATGTCGTTATACATAATTTGCATCTTCGCTCCAAAGCCAGCCACCAGATCTGGAGAGACGGACCCTCACAAAGACCTTTTGATGGCCACAACAACCTGCAACGAGTCTGCCACCACCTACAGGGGTGGTCACCACAAGGACCAACACCGCCGACAGAGCACACAACACGGACTATACCACCTCGCTAGAGAAAACTTTACCTAGTCGCGTCAGTCCTGGTGCTGATATGGCCAAAGCTGGAGCACGATAGGTTGATAACGATCACCAATGTACGCCCGTGCGGAGCACAACAGCTGCTAGGTCAAGAGTGCACAAACTAGATCGGCACCGCGTCTACTGACCGAAGCACTGTGGCGCCTCGAGCATGCCCGCCTGAGCCAGCGCGAGAATCCGGCTATGCCTAGCGTGATCACGACCCGAAAGTCACCAAGATGCAGAGGACCGCCTCGATGTCGTGCCCCACACCACACCCGTAGAGAATAGAGCCCCGTCGCCACCTTCCTCAGGGCCGGCCCGAGCTTTGCTGGTGGGCGCCCTCCAGCGGCGGCAAGATGAGGGACAAGGAAGATGAACTGGCGGCGCAAGGGTTGCTAACCCCCGAGTCGCCGGAGGAAGGTGGCGCGGGGGCGAGTCCTTACTAAAACACCAAAAAACAATAATTTAAAGCACGGTTAAACAATACATATTTGTATCAAATATATAAATCTTATGGTAGAATAGAGCGTTATCAAATTTATAAGATTATTATGTGGCCAAGCATCAATTTTCAAGAAGACCTCCATGATTCATGTGGTCCCCTATTTCTGTGCCCAGGCGGTATGAATGATATCAGCGACCCGGTCTGGTCTCGCCATGTAAAGCTCGTTCACATGTCATACATCGACATCTGACCTAATGAATCAGGTTAAACTAATTCCCGCAATGGTAAAAGTGGAATCAAATCAAATTAAATACTCCACCAGTTTAGAGCACGTACGTAACCTGGATCAGAATGCATGCATCTATAAATATAGTTGCGCTTTTGTACATATTTATTGTTATATTCTTTGTGTACACGTTCGCTATTTTCAACCGCGGAACCTTTGAAAGTTATCGTCGCGTTGTCAAAGCTGAAAGGGGACCTTTCATGGACTCCTGGGCGGGTATTTAGTCAGTAGTCAAACCTACGAAATAATCAATGCATGATGACCATACAGAATTCGGCCGTAGCTAAGCTAGTCCACAGACACGTTGTACTCCCTCTGGTTCCATATTAGTTGTCGCTTCAACGGATATATTTAGCACTGAAATACATCTAGATACATTCATTTTAGAGACAACTAATATGAAACGGAGGAAATATTAAGCTAGTACTCTTACGTAGTACAGTAGTACCATGCAACACGAGTCATACGTACGTACAAGGTCAGTTTAGCGGTCAACAGGACATAGATGTAGCCATTGACTAAACGCTTCAAGTGTCGGATATATCACCCACCAATCTTTGATTAAATGCTTCAAGTGCCAAGTGTAGAGTGTTGCTAAATCTTAGTCCAGTAAAATTTAGCTATGTCTTAGTTGATGCTATATTCGTGGGATTTCACATAGATATTCATAATTTTTTTTCTTTCGTCACTTGATTGAGACTTGATGGATATTCGTGGTTGTATATATGGGTCGACTAAAATTATCACCCGATCATATGATTGGATGACATTTGTCACAATTTGGGGCAAAGGGTATCGATCATGGTGTGACGTCCTAGCTTTTGTTGCAGGTAATGTACTATCCATCTTTCTTTCAAACACAGTACAGACGCAAGTGCTTACATATACGCACATACACGTATCCCTATGAACACACACAACCAACCCCTATAAGCACCTCTCAGATATTGAGTCGTATTATTTTGAGATTTTACGAAGTCATCGTTGCCGCTTTGTAGTCGACGGAAACGTCTTCTCCCACTAAATACGCATCGCCGCAAATACTGAAATAAATCCAGAATAAATGCGGTCATCAGGACTTAAACCTAACTTGGTGGGCTGTGTCATCCTATACATCTAACCACATGTTGGTCGAAAAGTGACTTCAGTGCACGGCGTCCACTGGTATGTATATCCGCACCTCCCGTTTGCATGTGGATCACCAGGCGACAGGTGCAACTGGAGCAATGGCACAGAGCCCCAAAAAATTAGGGGCCCCAAATTTTTCCTAAGTACCAGTACTATTGTTCTCCTTTAAAAAGCTAGTAGTACTATTGTTACTTAGGGGTTAATTGATTCTAAAAAATGGTCAATGAAAGTGTAACGAACCCTTAATCAGTACAACAGAAAGATGTTCGGATCGAAAGATAGTACAGTATATGTCATAGTACTAAATTTTTTATTTGGCAAGGAGCAATTCTTGAAAAACGTACGCAAACATAAAAAGAATACATTTTAGGCTTTTTCACTCATGGGAATTTGCACAGGCCCCAAGTTTTGGAGGTACGGCCCTGTGGATCATCCCCAAGCATTAACAGCGCCTGTGTATAAGGATATTGCAGTTCATTCCACGTTGCAGTATCTCACATAGTTTCCACCGTATTGCCCTGATTTTGGTTCTGGACCCCCGCGGTCGTCCATGTTGTAGAGTGCATAGCTCGCACTTTTTATGGCCCGGGCCTGCTCCAGATAACTCCATGCCCACGGCTATCCAACCATTTACTGTTCTTCTCCCCGCTCACCTGCATTTCACCTACCCAAAGAACTGCTTCGCCTCGCCGAAGAACAGATCGAGCTGGTGCCAGATGCTGAGCGGCAGGTCCGGCGCGCATCTCCCACGGGCGCAACCTGTGTGGGCTCGTTAAGCTTCCCAACAACAGTCCTTCAACCTCTCCCACACCGTCCCGCTCCACATCCACCAGGTAAGTGGAAGTCTAGATGGAGTAGTTTCTTTTTGGGTAAAGATTTGTTTTGCTAGATCTGTAAATCGATGTGCCTAGTCATGGCTTTATCACTGGCCGCCAACCAACAATATCACAATTTTGGGTTTGCTGACCCAGCGATCTGTTAGAATAGATGCGTTTTTCT